AAGCGCCACATCAGGCTCTGTGCTGACAGTGTGGAGCCCGCTTGGGATTCTCGCTCTCTCTCTTTCTGCCCCTTGCCTGCTCCCTCTCTCTCTCAAAATAAATAAACAAACTTAAAAAAAAATACAACTACAATATAATTCCATTTATATAAGGTACCTAGAGTAGTGGAATTCATACAAAGTTGAACAGTGGTTGACTGGGGGAAGGGAAAATGGAGAATTGTTGTTTTATGAATATAGAACTTGTTTCACATTATGCAAAAGTCCTAGAGATTGGTCGTGTAACAGTGTGAATATACTTAACACTACTTAACTGTGCATTTAAGAATGTTTCAGATAGGAGCGCCTGGATGGCTCAGTCTGTTAAGCTCTGGACTCTTGATTTCAGCTCAGTTCGTGATCTCACAAGCCCTGTGATCCAGCCCCAAGTCAGGCTCATCACTGGGCCTGGAGCCTACTTAAGATTCTCATTCTCCCTCTCCCTCCCTGGTCCTCTCCCGCTTGTGTGCGCACTCTGTCTCTAAAACAAAACAAAAGTTTAAAATAGCAAATTTTATGTTATGGGTATTTCCTCACAATTAAAAATTAATTTTTTTCAGAAAAAAAATTAAAAGCATCAAGATCAAGTACAGCTCATTCCAGTGACAAAGGAATGGTTTAACATTAGAAGTATCTATCATTGCAATTCATCACATCAGTGACCTGAAGGAGAAAACTCATATGGCTATCTCAAAATATTCAGGAAAGGCATTTGATGAAGTTCTGTGACTATTTATGATAAAAACTTACAGTTAGGAAAAAAGAGGAGCTTTCTCAGAATGATAAAGAGCCATATGTGATTACGTATGATGGAATAAGTATTCACACTTCTTTTTTTGTTTGTTTCAAATTTTTATTTAAATTCTAGTTAACTTACAGTGTAATACTGGTTTCAGGAGTAGAATTTAGGGATTCACACCCAGTGCCCATCATAACAAGTGCCTTCTTTAATAATAAACCAAGAAAAAGAAATTGTGAGAGTAATTCTATCTACATAGAAAATCCAACAGGATCTATGGGCAGACTTTTTTTTTACAAATTAGAGAATTCTTCAGTGTTGCAGGGATATAAAATAAAGCTACCAAAAGTTAACAACACTCTTCAAACCAACAATAACTCACTAAAACATGAACATAAGATGCCACTCACGAGAGCAATAAAAGTCAGAAAGCATTTCAGAAATAAAAACACAGCCTTGAACTTTGCGGAGCGAAAAAATTTAAGGACATAAAAGAAGACACGAATAACTGAAGTGACATACTTTTTTCATGATTAGAAGAGCTTAACATTTGAAGCTGTGATTTCTCCTGATATCAATCTAGAAATTTAATTGAAATCTCAGTGAAAATTAAGATGGTTTCTGAAGAACTTGGAAAACACTGTTACAATATTTCTCTAGAAGAATAAAGGTTCATAAAAAGTTAGGTCAAGTTTGCAAAAGATGACCAAAGGTGGGAAGGCGCGGGGCTTGCCCTGTCCTATTAAACCACACCGTATGGGGCGCCTGGGTGGCTCGGTCAGTTAAGCGTCCCACTCTTGATTTCAGCTCAGGTCACGACCTCTCAGTCATGAGATCGAGCTCCGCATCAGGTTCCGAGCTGAGCATGGGGCCTGCTCGAAATTCTGTATCTCTCCCTCTGCCCCTCTCCCCCACTCATGCTCTCTCTCTCTCTCTCTCTCTCTGAAACAAACAAAAACCACTGTAAACCATAACAATCAATAGCATGTGATACCGACTGAGAATTAGTCAAGCAGATGAAAGGAACCAAAGGAGAGCTTAAAATACGTATGTATGCTAACAACTGCATACTTGTATGATCAAAGTGGGACCATAGTTCCGAGGGAGAAAGAACTGATTGGTCGGCGATGCTGGGAAAACTGGCTCACTCTACGTTGAAACACATCTGGATCCCTTCTTGCAACACATCCAGAGACAGAATCTGTGGCCTTTAGGATCTTAATATAAATTGTGATACCTACCATTGATCGAGTGCTCATATGTGCCGTGCCCGTTACTGTGCAGGAAGTCATTTAATGCTAAATGAATGCTATGAAGGAAATACTATTATTACCTCCATCTGACAAATGAGGAAACGAAGGCACAGAGAATTTATGTAACTTGCTCACGGCTGGATGAGGGTGAGGTGAAGGGTGTGAGCCGGGCAAAGTCAATTTGTATCTTTATTTAAATTGTTGATATTTTGTTCATCGTGTGTTTTTGCCTTAAATCTGACTTTGAAAAACAATGCATTGAAGTATTATTGACCTTGCTTACCGGATCTTTTGGTATCCACTTAATTTTTTTACACTAGTCCTGGCCCTCCAAATCCCAACACTGGTAAGAAGCCCAGTATTCCAGTGGTCTGGCTCCAGATTCTGTGAACGATCTTATTGTGACACTTAGTAAAACTATCGGGCCAGGGGCGCCTGGGTGGCTCAGCCGGTTAAGCCTGGATTCTTGATTTTTCCTCAGGTCGTGGTCTCGCAGTTCATGAGTTCCGCATGGACTCAGCCCCACATGGAGCTCTGCACTGATAGAGCTGAGCCTTCTTGGGATTCTCTCTCTCTCTCTCTCTCTCTCTCTCTCTCTCTCTCTCTCTTCTCTCTGCCCCTCCCTTCCTCCCTCTCCGTCAAAATAAATAAACTTTAAAAAAAACAAAACTACCAGGCCACTAGAATACGACACTGGAGAATATCTTTATAATCTTGGGAGGGGAAACACTTCAAACAAAACTCAAAGAACACAAACCTGATGGACTTGAATATATAAAACGGAGGATTGGTTTTCTTTCTTTTAATGAAGGTTTGTGTAAAGTAGAAGCAGAAGAAAATGAATATATTTCTTTTTCAAAAATGAACTGAATATTTAAAAAAATTTATTTTAATGTTTATTTTTTGAGAGAGAGAGAGAGCGTGTGCAAGCAGAGGAGGGGCAGAGAGAGGGGGAGACACAGAATCCAAAGCAGGCTCCGGGATCTGAGCTGTCAGCACAGAGCCTGATGCGGGGCTCAAACTCACAGACCGCGAGATCATGACCTGAGCCAAAGTCAGCCGCTTAACCTCCCTCCCCCCTTCCTTCCTTCTTTTACAAATTCACAAAGCTTTGGAAGGAAACGCAGTAAATTTTTGTTTGCAAATGGCTTGATCTACCTCTTTTCCTGGTGCCTTTGAAGTGGACATTGAACTCTTGTGAGACAATCCTGGGTCCTCTAGGTCCTGGTCCACAAAACAAACCAGGCAGCGGTCAGCAGCTACCTTTACTTGGACCCAGACACCCGACTCCGACGATACTGCCAGCAATCAGACCTATATGGCTTGTGAGCAAAACAGACGAAAAGAGGGAACCAAACAGGACCAGTTATCATTTTCCACGTATGTCCACAGGTTTTTGTGTTTTGAGTTGGCCTGGAGTATGAGTTTAGAGAAAGCTAAGGAATATACCAAGTGCTACCATGAAGAGATCCTGGATCCACAATGGAAAGGGCGCGCCAGCTGCCCCTCTGCTTCGACCGAGAACAAGCCCGGAAAGATGATGAAACTATCGGGAAGGGTGAAGTTATCCCTCAGGAAGCAGACTTCCGGATCAGGTTTGAGACACCGGGAGTAAAGGGACTTCTGACAGGTGGTCCATAAAAACATACTAGACTAAGGCATGGAAAGAATAAACAAGCACTGTTTTTTTAAAAAGCTCTTCCAGGGGCACCTGGGTGGCTCAGTCAGGCAAGCGTCCGACTTCAGCTCAGGTCATGATCTCGTAATTCGTGGGTTCAAGCCCCGTGTTGGGCTCTGTGCTGACAGCTCAGAGCCTGGAGTCTGCTTTGGATTCTGTCTGTCTGTCTGTCTGTCTCTCTCTCTCTCTGCCCCTCCCCCACTCGTGCTCTATCTCTCTCTCTCTCAAAAAATAAATGGACATTAAATAAAAGCTCTTCTGGGGCGCCTCGGTGGCTCAGTCTGTTGAGCGTCCAACTTTGGCTCAGGTCGTGATCTCGTGGTTTGTGAGTTCAAGCCTCGCATCGGGCTCACTGCTATCAGCACAGAGCCTTCTTCAGATCCTCTGTCCCCCTCTCTCTGTCCCTCTCCTTCTTGTGCTCTCTCTCTCTCTCTTAAAAATAAACATTAAAAACAAACCAAAAAAAAAGCTCTTCTGGGATGACCTGTTTAAGACAGAAACAAAACACCTCCCAGTTTAACCCGTTTCTGACCGAAAAGTCAAACCAGGGCTGACCCTTGAGAAAAAGTAAGTTCAAACCTCTCACAGGGGCATCTGTCTGGCTCAGTCAGTACAACATGTGACCCCTTGATCTTGGGGTTGTGAGTTCCAGCCTCGCGTTGGGTGTACAAATTACTTAAAAATAAAATCTTTAAAAGGAATTAATGAATTAGTTAAAAAAAATACACAAAACCTCTTGCACCCGTGGGTGGGGGGCAAGAAAACATGATGTCGTTTTTAACGAATGTTAATTAAGGAATAATTTGGGGGCACCTGGGTGGCTCACTCAGTTGAGCATCTGACTCTCGGTTTCAACTCAGGTCATGATCCCACGCTTCGTGAGTTCGAGTCCCACATCGGACTCTGAGCTGACAGCAGGGAGCCTGCTAAGACTTCTCTCTCCCTCTCTCTCTGCCCCTCCCCCACTTGTGCTGCCTCTGTCTCTCTCAAAATAAGTCAATAAACTTTATTTTTTTTTTTAATTTTTTTTCAACGTTTTTATTTATTTTGGGGACAGAGAGAGACAGAGCATGAACGGGGGAGGGGCAGAGAGAGAGGGAGACACAGAATCGGAAACAGGCTCCAGGCTCTGAGCCATCAGCCCAGAGCCCGACGCGGGGCTCGAACTCACGGACCGCGAGATCGTGACCTGGCTGAAGTCGGACGCTTAACCGACTGCGCCACCCAGGCGCCCCAAGTCAATAAACTTTAAAAAAAAAAAAAAAAAAAAAAAGCAGCACACTTTCAAGGCTGAAAGTGGCCTGAAAACTCTTGTTCTTTATGTTGCTGATTAGTGATATGCTGTAGAAAATCATGAGTCATGGGTTTAGTCCCATGTATATCATGGGTCAAATGACTCGTGAACACACCAAGCAAGGCCACGTTCTCGGAAGTTTACACAGTTTCTGGTCTGGTCCTGCCCTCAATGGAAGCTGGGAACACAGTGAGATATTTAGCACCACTTTCCTATAACCTAGTCCGCATCCCGTGGACCCAATCCATCCTTGGGGGATTTGCCTGTTTGTGCCAGTGTCCGTAGGAGGCAAGGGTTTGCTGTGGTCGCTGCCACAGTCTTCCCCCTGCGTGTTGCTGCCGGGGCGTTTCCAGTGCGACTGGAGACACGGGTTCTGAGCAGCCGTCCTCACTCTGGGTCCGCCAGGAACCTGTCCGTGGGCATCTCTACCCTGGGCCAGTGGTATTTCTCTCTCTCTTTTTTCTCTCTTTCACTTTTCTTTCTTTTCTTCTCATACTTGTAGGAGGGGCTCTGCAACGCAAAAAGCAGAAGTAGAAGGATGAGAAAGTGGGAGACATAGAAGGGTTAGCTGTTCGTGGAAAGTCTTAGGACCTTGTCCTTTGACACCACTGGCTTTAGAGAAGTCCTCAAATAGAAATGTGGAGAGAACTGGAATTCAAGTGGAGGGTGGCAGGGGTGTGGATCCCCAGGCAGCCTCGTTTGAAAAAGGCATAGGTTGCGATGGGCGGGGGTACGGGGCAGCCAAAACAGCCAAGGCAAGCTTGTTTTGCAAGCTGGCAACGCAGTTAGGGCTGAAACCATGCTGGGGAGGCCTGCAGCAGAGGGTCTTTGAACTCAGTATTCCATTTCAGCAGGTTTCTCACCTGAGTCCGGGGGAGGGTTCTTGGGGTGTCCCCTGCAGGTCTTTGAGCGAGAGTGCTGGGGTGTGGGAGAGGAAGTAGCAGGCCCATCCCGGAGCCACTCCAGGGCAGTGCTGGCATCCAGAGCCCCCATCATCCATCGGTGGGGGGTCCGGCGGGAGCCAAGGCGGCGCTCGCGGAGAACGCCCCCGTGGGACGTGGGCCCAAGCCTGCACTCCACCCCAGGACTCCGAGCATTGTTAACGAAGGGAAACTCGGACAAAGTAAGGAGACAAAGAGAAGAGATATGTGCAACACCAAAGCACTGATACTTAGCTGTGTGTAGACATGCAAATCAGTAGAAAGAAGGCTAGAAACCCAATAGAAAAGATAGACAAAGGCTCCCCAAAGAGACAATTCACAGAAGAGGGAACCACCATGACTGCCAAGTGCATGAAGAGCTATTCAAATTCCCTAGTCATCAAGAGAACCCAGATGGAAGTTAGGAACCACTTCAGATTCGTCAGATTAGCAAGCATCAGAAAACTGGAAAGCCAAGTGCTAACGGAAAACCAGAACCCTCCCGGTAAGTGTGGAAGTTCCAACAGCCACCCAGGAGAGCACCGTCGGTGCTTTGGGAAGCCGAGGGTGCGTGTACCCTGTGGCCTGGAAGTCCTACTTCGAGGAGAATTCTCCCACAGCCCATAAGGAGACAGTTGAAGACAGGTGTTCGTAGCAGTGATGTATGTGACAGGGGCACTGAGGCCAAGCTAAGGGGTGCATCACTGAAGGGTGTGGGGGATACTAAGAGTACTGGATGCTCAGCGTGGCGTATTACATGCAACTAGCAGAAGTAACAAATGAGATGCATGTGGAAAACATTAGAGTTGAGTGTAAAACCGTAAACAGGATGAGTCTTATACACGACAGCATGTTTGTAAATTTAAAGCATCCATATAGGAGCCAAGCCATGTATAGAAGAGAACCAGACAGGATTCAAGGAAGCTGCCTGAGCACACCGAGAGGGGCCTTGTTTACAGTGGTGACGCGTCACAAACCGAGGAGGAAAGAGTCAACTCTGCCTATGAGGTCATACAATGAAGTGTGGTGGGTGGGGGACGAGCATCCCTGGAACCAGGGGAGCTTGGGTTCCAACCCCAGTTCTACCACCTGTAAGCACTGGGGATTTGGGCAAAGCATTCATTCATTTCATCCACAAATATTTAACGAGCACCTACTCAGGGCCAAACACTGTTCTGGGCACCGTGGACACGCTGGTGAATAAAACAGTGTAACATAAGTTACCCTGGGATAAGTGCCGGGTAATGTGATACTGACTTTAGATTGCATCATCACGGATGGCATCTCTGACACCTGACTTTCCAGCAGGGATGCAGATGATGAAAGGACCCAGTTGTGAAAGAGCAAGGTTAAGTGCTTTCCAGGCACAGGGAACAGCATGTGCAAAGGCCCCGAGGTGACAATGAGTTTGGCCTGTGTGGCTGGGTAGGTGAAAGAGGGGCAGAGGGGGCTTGAGGAGATTGAAGATGTAGGCGGGGAACAGATCATTCACAGCTTTGTAGGCCTTCGTCAAAAAGAGCTCAGATATTATTCTAAACACAATGGAAAACCAAGAGACAGTTTCATACAGAGGAGTGACTTAGCAGCATACTTTAAAAACAAAACAAAACATTTTTTTCCTTAAGAGTAATACACAGAGAAAAAGATGAGATACATTTTAAAAGATCACTTTGGCTGCTGAGTGGAGACTGGATCGGAGGAGTGGAAGCCACATAAGCTTTCTGAGCCTCAGAGTCCACACCTGCCATGGTGAGAATACCCAACCGGTGCAGAGCCGCGGTGAGTCAAGGTGGGAACACAGTCTGGTCCTAGGAGTCTCCTTGGCACTCGAGGCGCAGGCTGGGACGCGCAACGCTCCATCTCGGGCCTGGGGTGCCCCTCCAAGCCCAAGACACAGACCTACGAATTGCAAGCCAGCGAGCGCTGCACCCGCTGTGCCTCGCGTAGGCGGCCGCTGGGAGGCGCCGGAAACTCTGCGCGGTCCCCAAAGGAGGGCCCGCCCACTGGCCCGCTCGGCGCTCGGCAGCTCCGGCCTGCCGAGGGCGAGCAGGGGCGGGGCCGTTGCGTGGGGGCGGGGCCTCGGCCGGGGCGCCGGACAGTCGCAGTCTTAAGCCTACAGCACGGGGCGGGGCCTGCGTGCGGGGGCGGGGCCGCGGCGCTCGGGGCTGGCGGGCTCGGATGGCGGCGGCGCAAGGCTCCTGAGCGGGCCGGGGCCATGAACGCCGCCCGGCCCCAGTTCAGCATCGATGACGCCTTCGAGCTGTCCCTGGAGGACGCGGGCCCGGGGCCCGAATTCAGCGGGGTCGCCCGCTTCGGGCCGCTGCACTTCGAGCGCCGAGCCCGGTTCGAGGTGGCCGACGAGGACAAGCAGTCCCGGCTGCGCTACCAGGTGAACGGCCCGGCCCACCTCAACCCCAGCCCGGGTCCGGGGGGTACCCCAGGCCGAGGCCGGACCCTGGAGAACCCCAACTCAAGGGAAAATCTGTCTAGACGCCCCTGCCTACGTAGCCACTGATTCAAGGCCCTGCCCAGACCCTCCCAATTCTGATTTTGGTCCCCAGCCACCGAACCCGGGAGTTCTTCCCCTAGCCCCAGCTGGAAATCCCACCCGGTGTCCCCACTTATCCTGAGTCGGGACCCAACGCCCTCTTTCCCCGCTGGGCTAGAGAGCTCTTCTTGTCCCTGAACCAGATCTTGCCCAAACTCCGGAGCAGACCCTCGAGCCTTCCACTCTCCCGCTTCTGTTCTGGAAGTCCCCACCCCATCCTGCCCCCGCCCCCACTCCCCTACCCCAGAGCTGGAGGCCCTCACTCACCTGATGAGTCCTTACCCATGCCTTGACTCCCACTAAACTGGGAATCTCCAATCTCCCTGAGGGACTTCCGCCAAGATCCTTTTATTCGAGCCCTGTATCAGATTCCCGCGACCCAAACCTGAAAACCAGGACTTTTGCCCTGTGGCACTCCAAATCCGGAGCCTCCATACTGGGCCCCTGAAATACCATTCTGAAAGCTCCACCCTGACTCCCAAACTTGGGGGCGCTCCTGGCCCTGGGACCATGTTGGGAGCCCTCAACCAGCACCCCCCCCCCCCACCTCCTACCTGGGTTTCAGTTTCTGTGAATCATCAAACCTGTTTTGCGGGGAGGGTGGAGGGCCAGGTGAGCAGCTGTCAAGCGGCCAGGCAAACAGCTGTGTAGGCTTGCTCTCCTCTCCCTGAGAAGGGAGGAGGAAGGGCCTGGGCCCAGTAACCCCTCTGAGCCCTGTGTTCTGGAATAGAACCTGGAGAATGATGAGGATGCAGCCCAAGCCTCTCCGGAGCCGGATGGGGGAGTCAGCATCAGGTCAGGGCCAGGTGGGGACCCGGCCTACGCCTCTAACCCTGCTCCTGGCTCCTTTCCCCAAGGTCCCTGGCCAGTTTCCCACCTCACACTACTCAGCTCTGTCACATCCTGTCCTACAAGGATTCCTAGCCCGATCCCCATGCCCCTCATGGGCTCCCCTGTCCTGCAGGGTCACCCTACCCCAGTGCCAGCCTCACCCCCCCCCACACACACACCCCCACCACGCTCTTTCTCCTGCAGAAAACCCCTAGCCTGGTCTAGCCCCTACCTTCCCCCAGGTCATCCGTCCTGCAGGAATCCCTAGCTCGAATCTGCAGGTTTTTTCCATCCTCGGTCCTGCAGAGACCCCAGCCCTTGAATCCTCCTCACTTTGTCCCCTCTCAGTGCCCCCTCTCCCGCAGGGACACCCATCCTAATCCCTGTACCAACCCCCACCACGTCATTATGACCCCTTCATCACTTGCCCTGCCTCTCACTGGGCCCACCTGGCCAGCAGGGATTCCAGCCGAACGTCCATCCGCAGCTCCCAGTGGTCCTTCAGCACCATCAGCAACAGCACCCAGCGATCCTACCATGCCTGCTGCAGGTGAGAGCCCGCCCTGCTTAAGCCACCTGCAGTCTGTGACCCAGAACAGGCAGCCCTGGCTTTCCCCCTCGGTCCTCTGGGTGGGGAAGAGTGATGGGAGAGGGTGGGGCTCTTGTCACTTCTCGCACTCATCCTGCTGTCCTGCCCCCCAGCTGGACGCAACACCCTTTGATCCAGAAGAACTGTCGGGTAGTGCTGGCCTCCTTCCTACTCCTGCTGCTGGGGCTGGGTGAGTGCCCCTGTGGGTCCCCTGCCTACCCCCGTGAGGGCGCCGTCCTCCCTTCGTGCAGGGTCTGGGTCCCCCTTGGCCCACGGAGCCTCCCTACATCCAGCTGAGTGCCATCACCCCACCCCCATGTTACAGGTGAGGAAACTGAGGCCTTAAGAGGAGCAGGCCCGGTCTCCTGGACACACAGCCAGGAAATCACACATAGTGGAAAAGGGAACCTGGTCCCATGCTCCAAACTTTTTTTTAACTTAGCCATTTAATCCCTCATGGAGCAAAAGAGCCAACAGCCACCATTTATTCTGTGGCTACTTCAAGCCAGCCGCAGGGTAGCTTATTTCCTGCCTTACGGAGGTCACACAGAAAGTGAGAGGTGGGACCGTGACCCAGAACCAGTACGGAGACAAGTGCTCAGGGATCTGCCCATCCCCGTCGACAGGGATGCTGAGCACCCTGCCGGCCCGACCCACGGAGCACCTGTCGCGTCCCCATCCCTGGAGTCTGAGAGCTGAGGAGGACCCCTCCCTGGCCCTCACCGGGTACACCTATTGCCCAGATGGGGAAAGCGAAGACCAGAGCAGACAGATCTCCCAGCCAGATGTTTTCTGACTCATTCTACGGGGCTGAGGAATCAGGATCCCCAGCAGGGACCTAGGGTCGGGATCAAGAGGGGCTCGTGAGGACAGCCCAGCTGTGGCAGCTGCTCTCCATCTTCCAGCACGGTCAGAGTCCCCTAGCCAGAAAGCTGAGCAGCATCCTCGCCTCGGCTCTGGGTGTCTACGTGTGGCGGGAGGGAGCCACCAACTTCTCCGGTCCCCACTGCAAGCTGGGCACTGGTCACACGGGCGACCTGCCTTATCCCATTTCATTCTTTCTCCCAGTACCCACAAGGGCAAGCATTATTACCATCCCAGTCCAGAAATAAGGACAGAGGCTCAGCCAGGTAAAGGGACTTGCTCAGACCTCAGCTGTGAGGTAGATGAGCTGGGATTTAAACCCACATCAGTGACATTACCAGGCCTATAAAGGGCCTTTGTAGGACTTAGAAGACACCTCCTCTGAGTGGGCAGGGCCCCCAGCCCTAAGCCAGGGTGGCAGGTAGTGTTTCAGCCCCCACCATTCCTTTTTTCAGGTGCTCTATACGGGGCACCAGTCACCTAACAGTCCATGGTGGCCCCTCGAGCCTTCATGCCATATCGCTCCCTTGCTGGAAAGCCCAGCTCCCCCACCGCCCCCAATCCCATCCTCTAAGCGGGGACCCAGGACTCTGTAGGTCTGAAAAGTTGATCCAGCCATGACTTCCCCAAACCCACTGTTCTCAGCCAAAGTTCACATCCCTCGTTGGGGTCTACAGGCCCTGCCAGACTCCTCAAGCCCGGGCTCTTGCCTCTCCAGTCTTCCACTCTGGAAGCTCCTGGAAGGCCCCAAGTTCCTTCCAGACTCTAGGCCTTTGCCATGCTGCTCCCTCCGCCCGGAGCATTCCAGTTCTTTTCTGCCTGCACCAAGCCCATAGCAAAGCCTCCAGAGTCCAAGCGCCTCCTCCTTCCACATGCAGCTCTCCGTCTCAGTTTCATCTTCTGTGAAATGGGGATGATAATACCTGTTTCATTCAGTCACGGTGACAATAAAGCAGTGCAGGTAACAAGCTTAGCCCAGTGCCTGGCAGCACCTGGTAAGTAACAACTAAATGTTAGCTGCTATAGCTGTCACCACCCCTGCTCAGCGTCATTGCTACCGCCTCCAGGAAGCCCCTCCCGATCCCCCAGGCTCCCCCTGCCGCCTGCTCTGGCCTGCCACACCCCCTATCACTGGATCGTAGCTTGGAGTTTCTTGTTGGTTGCACCACTAGGGAAGGGCCATGAGGGCAGGGACCTCATTCGCTTTTCCCTGTGGGATTCCCAGTACCAGGCACACAGCAGGTGTTCCATAAATGTTTGTCGATTGACTAAAGGCCACACCACGGAGCAGAGGAAAATCTCACTTCAGACATTTCCCAGGCCCTGCCAGGTGCCCTGCTCTGAAAACACAGAGCTTGGTGAGCTTCCCAGGAAGGGTCCTCTGGCTAGGGAACCCTCAGTTCAGATTGGGGACACTCCTGGGGCCTAAGCCTTGCTGGGGGTGGTGGGTGGAGTTCCCCGCCCTGCCGCCAGCCCCTGCCCCCGCCTCCCCCCCTCACCCTCGCGGATCCATCTGTGCGCAGTGCTGATCCTGATCGCCGTGGGACTGGAGGTGGCCCCCTCGCCAGGTGAGCGCCCCCTCCTACCTCCGCAGGCAGCGGGATTCCCCGCAAGAGAAAAACTCCTCCAGGACCCGCGAGCCCCCAACCCCCTCGGAAGTTTGCTTCCACCCTCACAGCAGGAAAGGACCCCTTTCACCGCAGGGAGACTTGACCAGACAGTGACCCGCCCCCCCCCCTCGGTCCCGCCCCGGTGCCTCCCAGCCTCGACTCGGCCCCTCCTCCTGCAGGTGTCTCCAGCGCCATCTTCTTCGTGCCCGGCTTCCTGCTGTTGGTCCCGGGAGGTGCGAAGGGCTCCGGGCAGGGGCGGGGCGGGGCTGGGGGCGGGGCGGGGGCGGGTCTCGGCGCTGACCGGCCTCGCCCCCGCAGTCTACCACGTGATCTTCATCTACTGCGCCGTCAAGGGCCACCGGGGCTTCCAGTTCTTCTACTTGCCCTATTTCGAGAAGTGAGCCGCCGGCGGACCGCGGGGATCCAGCCTCGCCTTCGAGCGGCCCCAGGGGGCGCTCCTCGGCCCCGCCCCGCTCTGGTTTCCTCATCTCAAGGGAAGGACTGCAGGACCCTCGAGCCCCCAGCCCCCTCGAAGTTTGCTCAGGAAGTTTGCCCACCACCCAGGCCCGGGAAACTCGTCCCTTGCCTGTTCTGTGCCTTAACTTATTCTCGAGCCTTGGGGCTGCTGCGTTGTTGTTTTGTGCTAATAAAAGAATGTACTTCACTCCAGGAGAGACCTTGATCTCCCTTTCCCGCCAACCCTGCCCAGCCCGTCGGCCTGGCCACAGCCCCTCCCGCAAAACCTGAGGGAAGCGCTGGCTGTAGGCAGCTGAAGGCTCCAGGACCACCCGTCTCCCCCCGTTGTACCCGCGACGGTCCTGATGCTCTAAGACTTGCTCCTCCGTTTTAGGTGCGGAGCTGGGCCGGGGACTCTATCCTGCAAGCCTGGAGCAGCCTCCCGTCACCACCCAGCCCTTAGCAGAGCTGGCCCTGCCCATTTCTCCACCTGGAGGCGCAGCAGCCTTGGTGCCTGCCCAGGGGGCCCTGGCCGAGGGCACTGGGATGACGCAGGCCTGGGGCCTGGAGGCTGGTATCCCGGTTGCAACGTGGCTCTGGGGCCCTGGGCTGCCACAGCTCTGAATGTGGGCCACGACAAGGCAGCAGCCCAGCCCTCTCCGCCCATTGCCCTACTTCCGGGCTCAAGGGTTGGGAGAAGCAGGGGTGAAGACAATGAGAGGCAGGGCGTGTGTGACAGAACCTCCGTGATCGAGGACTCTCCACAGAACAGTGGAAACAAACCAACTCAGAATTTGGGGAAACCAAGGCATCTCAGAATCTCACGAGCCAGGAAACAATCTTTGAGAACCCTGAAATCTGAGATCATAATAGCTACCATTTATCAAACTCTTAGAAGGCAGCAGGTCCTGTGTTGAGCACTTCGCACAGGTTCTTTCTGATAATCACCACCTCGGTCCCATTTTACAGATGAGGAAACCAAGATCCAGAGGGACGGATTCGCCCAAGGGCAGGGTTGGGAACATAACCCAAGGCTTCCAAGACACCTGGGGGTGGGAGGGAGAGGTGAGGGCACCCAGCCTGTGTGGTCCCCAGCCGACCACCCCGGGGAGGGAGGGCTGACTGAGGAGATCCTGTTCGTACACTTAGAGGTTTATACTCTGTCTTCCGAGTGAAACACGAATGGCGATGAGAAGAGACACGGGCTGTGCCGCAGCAGCCAGGAGAACGTCTTTGGGTTTCTGTGGCTTTGCTGAAAGAGTTAACACCCAGACTCCTGTTCCCACTCTTGTTCTCCTGACCCCCCGGACTTCCCAACCTCAGCCCCCAGTCTGGGCACTTTGGGGGGCACCGGCCGGATACAGGAATTTCTAAATCAGTGGCTCTCAAAGTAGCTGTAGGAAAGGATCAGTGTTCCTTTCTAATCCATCATGGACCAATACTGTGGTGGGATCAAATAACAATTGGAAAAGTGAGAGAACAATGACGTTCAGAACATAAGCCCACAATTTGTGTTCCCAGATTAACCAGACCTAAAATCACATTTCAGTGAATATAATCAGAACAAACAGGAAAGAAGGAAAGTTATGAAAACTATTCACTGTGTGCAAATAGGTAATTAATACAGAGTTGCTACTGTGCTCATAACTTTTTATCATTTCACAATCTTTTTTTAGGTTTATTTTTTATTTTTGAGAGAGAGAGAACGAGTGCAAGCAGGGGAGGGGCAGAGAAGGCGGCGGGGGACAGGGGATCCAAAGAGGGCTCTGTGCTGACAGCAGCGAGCCCGACGCGTGGCTCAAACTCATGAACCATGAGATCATGGCCTAAGCCAAAGTTGGATGCTCAACCAACTGAACCACCCAGGTGCCTCTGTCATTCCACAATCTTAACACCAAGTTATTCCAGAAGTAGTGAGTCTCCATATAAGACTACGGCAAGTATAAGCAAGCCGTAGCCCACAGGCCCAATACAGTCCCCAAGATAAAAATGGCGTTTCTAGGGGCGCCTGGGTGGCGCAGTCGGTTGAGCCTCCGACTTCAGCCAGGTCACGATCTCGCAGTCCATGAGTTCGAGCCCCGCGTCAGGCTCTGGGCTGATGGCTCAGAGCCTGGAGCCTGTTTCTGATTCTGTGTCTCCCTCTCTCTCTGCCCCTCCCCCGTTCATGCTCTGTCTCTCTCTGTCCCAAAAATAAATAAACGTTGGAAAAAAAAAAATGGCGTTTCTATTTTAGTAACGGTTGGGGGCAAAGTCAAAGAATAGTAAGATTTCGTGAGACAAAGAAGTTTACAAAATTCAAATTGCAGTGTCAATAAACCAAGTTTAATCAGTTAATTACCAAATTTCCACCCCAGCCATCCCTGTTTGTATGCGGCCTGGGGCTGCTTGGCAATTTTAACTACAACCGCAGAGCTGAGCAGTTGTGACAGAAACCGTAGGGTCCTCAAAGCCTAAAATCTTTACACTATCTGGCTTTTTACAGAAAAAGTTTGCCAACCCTTAGTCCGTATGAACGTGTCGACAGAACACTGAATCACAACATTTAAGGTTTTCACGAGGGGCGCCTGGGTGGCTCACTTGGCTGACCCTCCTGCTTTGGCTCAGGTCATGATCTCACAGCTCGTGAGTTCGAGCCCCGCGTCGGGCTCTGTGCTCGCGGCTCAGAGCCTGGAGCCTGCTTCGGATTCTGTGTCTCCCTCTCTCTCCGCCCCATCCCCACTCATGCTCTGTCTCTCTCTGTCTTAAAAAAATTTTTTAAAGAATTTAAAGTGCTTGATTTTTGCTGGTTAATTTTTGAAATCCAAACTGGGTTGACAGTAACGCTATCCTCAGGGGATCATGAATAGCTAAACTCTAAATGCAACTTCTTCTTCAGTTGAAAAATACATCGATCGTTGTGTCCAGACGAGGAACGTTGGACTTCTTTAGTGAATTGTGACTCATTTTATCCCTAATGCTTTTTGCCTCCTAGCCCATTTCTGTCTGCTATGCCTGTACTTTTATGAGTTTTCTTTGGTTCATTTTCTCCTAGTAAATCTGTGTTGCAAGCAAGCCATCACTTTCAGCCTTTTGATTCTCATGATGCTGCTCGAATGTGCCTTAGATCCTACACTCTGCTGTGGGGAAGAGGCTGCTCTCTGCCCCCCAGTAGAAGAACCTTTGGTTTTTAGCTGGGCACGTGGCCACCCCAAATAAAGACTGCATTTCCCAGCATTCTTTGCAGCCCCCTGTACCAGGTAAGGAGCCCTCCCTAATAGAGTACAAGTGGCTCACGCTCTTTGTCCCTCTTTGTTCCTTGTTCCTGCCTCCATCGTGTCACCTGGAAAACATAGAAACTTGGGCATAGCCCGGCACCTGGTGCAAGGAGCTTGGGTTCCTGAAGACCATACGGCTGGATTTCACCTAAGAAATAAACTTCTCTCCAGTTTTCAACGTTTATTTATTTTTGGGACAGAGAGAGACAGAGCATGAACGGGGGAGGGGCAGAGAGAGAGGCAGACACAGAATCGGAAACAGGCTCCAGGCTCTGAGCCATCAGCCCAGAGCCCGACGCGGGGCTCGAACTCACGGACCGCGAGATCGTGACCTGGCTGAAGTCGGACGCTTAACCGACTGCGCCACCCAGGCGCCCCTCCAGTTTTAAGGCGTTGCTATTTGGTGTCTCCGTCAGTCACAGGGAACCCAATCGAACATTGAACCTTTCTTCTGGGACTGAGACTCTCTTTTAACCAAAAAGCTTAATCTGCTTAGAATTGTTGTAATTTTGATACGTTTAGGGATTACTCCTATCTTCTGTTTTACTTTGTTTTAATGTTTTCATCAGGTTTTTCTTTACTTCCTCCCCCCCGCCCGCTGTCTAGTCTTCTGGTTTAATC